TTTTGACTGTAGAGTAAGGAGGTAACTTACTTAGTAAAAGGCAATGCAATTTAGTCGTTGAATAAAGATTGTTGACACCGATTGAGTGGAATAATGTGCAGATTAGAAAATTTTATTAATTATATTCACTGCGAAACCACAATCGGAATATTCACTACAAAGTCAATTCTTTTCAATTAACATTAATTAATTGAATGAGAGATATAGTATTTGCAAGTAGCTATAATCCTATATAAATCTGTGTGTGGTCTGCTGTGAATAAACGCAACCGATGGGGGCAATGATCAGGGAGGGACTGAAAGTTAGGAGTTACATATTTGTGTATGTGCTTTTTAATAAAAATGGAAATTCGGTTGGCAATTATTTCTAATTGAAAATGGATATAAGTTTGTTAATTGCTACTAGTAAATTATATTAACTTCTTAACTGAAAGAATTAAATTCCTTTTATTCCTCCCTTTTAAATGTTACATATTTTAATTTTATCACTTCATGCATATGCGTTGAATTGTTTCAAAGAAAGTTGCAGTGGTTTGAGGTTGGTTTTAAAATGTTTACTAACGCTGACACTAAGGTGAGTGCCTTAGATGTTGGTTTTGTAAGAAACAGATCTAGGCTATACTACGTCTATTCTAATAAAGACATTATTATTTTGTCAATCGCCCCATCGAGCCTCCAACTTGGTTCTGTAAACCACAGCCTATTTCAACCCCCAATACCATTTCGTGTTAATAGTAGTTAATAGGCCCTGTGTGACAACACATAGAAGATCCTCATTATTTGTTGCTAAGCGAGTTGCCAAGTAAATAATATGTAATGTCAGAATAATAAAAATAAAATAAAACTATCAAGTCAAGAAGCGTATTTTTATTAAATAAGAGTGGTTTTTACGGGTAGTAGAATCCATTCTCAACATTTTGCTTATTTCATAAAAATACGCTTCTTGACTTGATAGTTTTATTTTATTTTTATTATTCTGACATTACATATTATTTACTTGGCAACTCCCTTAGCAACAAATAATGAGGATCTTCTATGTGTTGCCACACCCTGAGTACTGTCATTATGCGTTCGCTCTTTAGACCGAAATTAAAAGGGACAAGGTCGACGAAAAAGATGTGAGCATATGCTCTCCTCCCGGCCTACAAAGCCATTATATCATTTCATTATTAAAATCTGCTCCAAAAGATAGAGTCGGTTGAATTCGTTGCATTTCGGTACAAGTTCGGTCAGATAGGAGTAGAAGAGGTGGCAGTAGTGTAACTTTGTGTTCAGTATTTAAGGAACCTCGATTCTGTGTTTGAAATAAATAATTCTGTAAGCTGTCCTTCGATGCAGCCCTTATTGAGTTTAGTAGCAATTTGACCACAGCTTATTCACATTATTTTATTCGGATGTGAAACAACGAAACATTGGTTCTTACTAATGCATAACTTTGAATCTTTCAGCATAAAGTTTTTAATTCTTCAATTTATCAAGACATTTGATTATTGATATAAAATGCCATTTGATTATTCTGGAACACCCATACGCTTTCTAATTGCCAAGGGAGATGGTCTCTTCCACGGTGTATTTATTGTAAAAGGTTTGTGAAGATTTTAAATGAAAAGAGTTCATTTCTTAAATTTCTTTAATTTCCCTTGTCTCTGTGCTACTTCAAAAAAATGAACTGGTAGACCATGACCACCACTAAAATTGTAACTTAAAATACCACAAGACACAACGTAAAATCTAGGATCCTAGCACTATCATCTAGATTCTAGTAGGCCTGAGTTTGAGAAAAGGTAACAGGCATTATGTATAATAGACAAGTGCAATTATTCTTGTTTCAGTACAGTGCTTACCTTCACTAACCTATTGATGCATGATCGAATTGATTTTGTTGCTGTTGAGAGGTTCCACCCTGTATATACAACTTACGACGATGCACACATTTTTGAGAGTTGGCAACCATGCAATTTCTAGGTGGGAAAAAGCTGCCTGCGCTATCTAAAAAGCACGAACGGGGGTTACGTTTGGCATCTTGTCTTGAATGGCGGTCGTGAACGCGTCGCTCCATAAATGTTTGTTGTTATTTAATGCAGGTAGTAATGTTTGAATTTCTTTATATCGTATTTGTGTTTTGTATGCCACATTTTATTTTTTTTGTGTTTCAATCTTTGTTTTTGAAATTTACTTGGTTTAACCGCAATGCAGAATCACATATGTGATACCGTTATGCTATTGTTTGTAAATGTTTAGGTTTTTGATGTGTTTGCTTAATTTATGTTTATTGATGTTGATTACTTGGTCTTGTCCCTGAAGTAACATTCATATAAGTTTTGATCATTTTATTTGATATTTGGAAATTACTGATTCGTTTGATGTATGTACTGACTTGTTGTTTGTAACTAACAATTTCCTCCGTGAATGAAGCAGTCACGGGGGTGGTAAAAACTGTAGTCAAAATTGAGTTACGACACCTAATTCCGTGATTGTCTTCGTCATTCAACTGTAGGCTCGAAACCCCGAAACCAGGGGCGGGTTACCTATCTTACAGGAGCGGGATTACGCTAATCAAAGCTCTTCAGTTTAGAATCTATGTTCGATAAATGAGTTACCATTCGTAATTTCCACATATCTTGTTTTTAGTTAAATTTGCCTGCAAGGCCATGTAATTTTCCATCTTGCTTTTAACAAAAGGACTTTATTGCACCAAAGATGAGTCACATCCGGTGTATTTCACCCTTTCTCAGAATTTTGGTACCTGCTTACCTGACCCATAATTCCCAAAACTTGTTTTTAACCTATATGTTACCTCTTGAAGTTTACCTGCTACTTTTTGCGATGTTATAATTTTATGTTACGCATTCACATCATTACAAACAATTAATTTTACTACACAATTTAATATTAATTTGACGGCTGGTTTTTTATTGGTAAGTTCTTTTTTTGCCAGCCTATTTCTATTTTGATTCGGTGAACTACCATTTTCAAATTTTATTTTTGCAATGTAATTTATTTCGACTTAAATTTCCGAGCTTTCACAATCTTAATAATTGGGATCCTTATTAAACAAACTTTGGAGGGAATAGTCATTCGGGTGGCCATTTTTAAACGTTGCCGAGTTGACTTTATTTTCGTGTTCTTGTAGTGTGAAGTCAGCGTAGAACCTGGGGGTTAAGTACACTGCAGTGTATAAATGTGAATGTTTTTTCTTTGTGTTAGAGTACATTCCTGGAAGCGTAGGAGCAGAACTCTCCTCAACAAGTTAGCTGGTAATTATGTATTTTTGAATTTTTAGAAATTTAATTAATTTTACTGAAATTATTGGATTTTTGTTCAGGGAAATAGAAATATAAATAGAAAAAATTGTATCGCTTTTCAGTTCCAATTATTTAAAAAGAATGGGTGGCGCTCAAGGAGGAAATTTACGAAGATTTTATAGTCGAAGGAACATAACAACTGTGGAGTATCTCATGCCCTATTATACTTTATCATCCCTGAACTAGTTAGCCGTTTATGCGGCGGGTTTTGAGAAAAGCAGAGCCATGTTAACTCACGTGACAAATGTCGATTATGTCGCTTGCATTTCTACCCTCGCATTTAAAATGTTATTCCTAGACCATAAGGTGGCTCATACATATTTGCTTTTGATCTTCAGAAATCCACAGCTGTAAATTTACCCATGTTGCTGGGCGAATTTAAATTTATAGTTTCTGGTGTGCCAAAATTTCATCCCAACACAACATGGAGAACAATTCAACTCACAGATACGATCGGACTACAGAAAAAATTAATTTAGAGCTTCAGATCTGTGAAAACTGTCAAGATTTTTGCAACAAAGCATGTCCATTTGAAGTGTTATGTGGGGGAAAATGTCATACAGTAGTGCTGAAACTTCACAGCGGTATTGGTCCTGTCATACTAAAAACCAATAAAACTGAAAGATAGATAATGACTTTTAATTGTGGTTGCAAAATTAGCAAATGATCGAGTTAGCACCTTAAAAACTCAGGTATTTCCCTAACTAAGAAGTGTATACTTGTATGTACTGCAAATAATATGAATGAGACACATTCCTTATTTTAAAGTTGATATTGTATCTCTGCCGAGGGTTGAAGTTTAATTTAGTAAATGTATTGCTGTTTGAGATCGTATCTCAGCCACTTGAAATCTTATATTATTTTCTAGGGTCTTTGAGTAGTTTTGTCTGAATTGTGTAAATGTTTATTATTCGTTTCGGGAGTAGCGTTATTAAAAACGACAAGCTTCCCCATCTGAGAACGTGACAGAATTCTGTCTCGGCATGAGCATGAAAACAACGCCAACGTTTATGTAAATTACTCTCTCTACATCGCCCTCTTCGTAAGATTTCATTACTGAATGTAGAATTCAAATATCCGTTCCTATAAAAATAATTTGAGTGTAATTACGATCGCGAGATGGATAACCGAGCTCAGCGTGCAATTTTCCAATAACGAAGCAGTCAAGAAACCGGACAGCGGTGTGACGTCGTTAGTGAGGGGTCAATTAGGAAAGAGAGTAATGAAACAGTAACTCTGTAGCGACATCACCGGGGGGCGGTCCGCCCTCGCCGCGCATATCCTAGATATTCATTCTTGTCGACTTTATAAGGCATGCATATTATGATTGAGAAGTTGCATATAACGGGCGCAGCTTCCCAGAAGATACGTGATCGACAGTCGGATAGAATTGCCTATTGTAATGGATTATGGCATAATGAAAGTCATTAAGCTCCCGTAGCGGGCCCGCACGGCCGCGGTAGCACCACCAACTATGCTTTCAACTGATTTATTACTCAAAAAACATATAAACATTCCGACGAGAAATTTAATTAATTATTTTCAACAACCCTCTGGAAGAATTCGTATAAAAAGTTTGCTATAGTACTTGGAAATGTTAAATTTTAACAGAGCTCTTTTTTTAATTGCGATTCAAAGTTCTACGAATTGTAATGGAGGGGCGAGCGCAGTTAAGACAGTAATGAAAACAAAGAACCAATTTAAATGAGCTTTTATTTTTGCATACACTGTGTAAGAGATGTCCCCGATAGCTAGTCGAACTCGAAGTCGTCTTGGGTATCTGAGATGAATCGTTTTAAACGTTGTCCTTCTGAACGGTAGCAAGGCTGTATCGACTCGTAAAGATCCTATTAGGAGTTCTGCTACGTCATTCTCCCAATTAATGCGTCCACCACGACGCGAATCGTTTCCATTGTCCAACCATCGGCGGGAGATCGAAAATTTTCTGAAAGAAATATATTAATAATATTTTCGGTTTATCGGCGTAGAATGATTTTTAATATCGAACAAAATTCTAATATTACACAAGTCATCGAAGCTTACATCCTGTGATTGATGATATTGTATACAGCATTAATTTTTGTCGGTATCTAGAATTAGCCATGCCTGAAGGCAATAACTCTATGAATTGTTCCTTTTTTTCCCTGTCGCTTGTTTCGGTTATTTCGTCTCACAACATTTTGTAACCGTATAATTACTTACACTTTTTGTCGCCGACTATAAATAGAAAAATAAATAGTAAGGAGGAACTTTCTGTACAATTAAGACGACATATTCTGCGTTTTAAAATGCTTCTGGAAAATAATGGAATACTGTTACTGTTATTTTTGTTACAAAGACGCCTGTCAAATAAAACGTATTTTTAGCACATATGTATTTACTCTGTAAGTAAATAAAGTCACGTAAGTACTTAACGTTGCTGGTTCTAAAGGATCTGCTCACTATCATATTATCGGATATAAATTTAATTTCTCAGTTACATCCCTCATATTTATAGTTTCTCACAAACGATTAAATTCCCCTTTATAGGCAGCTGGTGCATCGAATAAAAACTTAATTTTTTGATCGTGCTAATGTGGTACCTATATTTCGCTTTTACCTTTACACTATCAATTTGTTCTATCCACTTATATGAATCAATATAACAAAATAATATTCGTTTTCGTACTGAAATTTAACTGACATTGACTGTAAAGTGCAAAGAAATATATTTCATTTTTTCCTTGTCCTTTCCTTATGGAAAAAACATTTTGCAGCCCTCTCTCGCAATACCACCATTTGGTGACATATACGAATATTTGGGAGATCGGGCCCGTTATTTAATTAAGTTAGAATTTATTATAGTCCCCTATTAAGTGTCGAAATATATTTCAGACCGAGGATTGTAAAAATTTAGGATGTTAGTTTGATCTATGTGGGCTGATGGCCTCCCAATAGCTGAGTCTCTCAGGCACTGTGCCATGGACCCTAGAGCTACCATATTTTGACGACAAATTTTTCATTATTAATAATTCGCCACAATCGCATTTCTAAAGCAATTGGCGTCCATCAATGACAATAGTTTTTCTGATAGGTTGTCCACAGAAGAAAGAGATGTACATTAACATTTTGTACACTCTCTACAAAGTAACTGTTTCAAGAGTTAGTGACCCCCTCCCGCCTTTCTAAAAAGTTATCAACGAACTATGATTAGTCTATAAAAAAAATCAGCTTCATTCATCCAACGGTAACCTAGTTATATCCGTAGAAAGTTCGTGAAAAACCGACTAAGAATTGGTTTTTTACGGAGTTATCAAATGTGCGCGATTTTTTTAAATATTTTTTTAAGGGCCCTTATCAACGCTTTCATTTGGTGTATAACTTATTTTCTCGAAAAACAACCTTTCAGAATTGGTACCGCAAGAAGTACCCGCAGCGCCTTAAGTCACATGACCTGAGGCGGCAGACGATCGATTTTAGCATACTCTGATAGGGCAAAATGGAACTGCATCGGTTAAAATTTTGATCATTCTCGTTCAGTGGATTTCGTGCTAGCTCCCCTACTAAGAGTTTGCATACTCCATTCGGCTCAAGAGCTTTTCAGCTCTTCCTTTTATGGATCAGAATATGTGTACCAATTTGGTCAAATCGATTTATATTATACAATTTGGAAAGAATTTTCAAAATTTCCTATATATTTCCACACTGATCACACTTTTCTGTCAAATTTTTCTCTCATAATTCCACCACTTCTAATATATTTCTTAATTTTTCAATTTTCAAATTTCATGACCTTTTCTACACCGACTCCGGACATTTTTCACATATTTATGAAACAGGTCCGAGAACAGGTCTATAGTTTTTTTACAAATTTTAAGTAATTTTGAAAGCGTTGCCAATTATTTGAAACATTTACAAAATTTCTACTCATTTCCCATACATTTCCAAAATATATACACTACATATTTCTAAAGCATTTTCAAAATTCTTGAAACCAAATTTTCCTGCACTTTTTCAACTTGTTTGAAACTTTTCTGACAAAATTTGCTACACAAATGTTTCTAAAATAAAAAAAACATTTCTGCAATTTCTCAAACATTTCCAAATGTACTACACATTTTTAACACACTATTCTATATACAGGCTGAGCATAAATTGTTGAACGCATTTCATAGCTGAGAAAAATAACGAACTGCAGTAGTCCGCCTATTTTTATTACAAACGAACAACGAAAGTTGGTTCTATTGGAGGGGGAGGGGGGTTGACAGATTGACGTTCGATTGATCGTGACGGGTCGATTGCCTGGTCACTTCGGTTCCCTGATATTACAACAATCGATTTCTTCTTTTGGGGATTTGTCAAAAGAAGAAGAATAGAAGCCGTAATTCAGGACATCGCTCCAGAAATTATCAGTAGCGTATGGCGTGAAAATTAAACCGATTTGTTATTTTTCTATCGACCTATGAAATGTGCTTAATAATTTGTGCTCACCCTGTTCAAAGAATTTATCTCAAAATTATTGCATATTCCTAACATTTCTTATACATTTACAAGACATAAGTTAAACGTAAAATATCGAGAATAGATTCTTTCAAAAAAATTCTAAAATACCTACACATTTTGAAAATTTGGAAATGTGTCGAAAAATTTTCTTCTGGTTGGTTTCCCTTTACCTAAAAAATGCATTTCCTTAAAGTTTCTAAGCATTCTTAATGTATTGTTGTGTAAACTGCGTCATGCGGACGTTTTAATTGGTGTACTGATGGGTCACCCTGTATGTGCTAATTAGTTTCAAGATAAGCAGAAGTTTTGTGCGGAAAATAAACACAGGTAGTCAGTGTATCATTATTTTGATAAAGGTGTAGAAGCGGAAGATGGAAGAGAAGGATGTTAAAAATAGAAGAGACGGACGTTAACCGTTGCTTTTTGGTGAGAATTTTTGTTTGATGGGCGCTTATAGTGTATGATAGTGTTCGAGTTTATTTTTGAAAGATAGTCAGTCTTGTGAATAGTAAAGTTTGTCTGAGTTGTACTAATGTGCGTTTATCGTTGAAGTGGAACTTTTCTATAAGGTCCAAGTTACCTGTTAAAGTGAAGTGTTCTACCACCAAAAAATTACATCAAAGTCAGTTTGAATAAATCTAAAAAGAAGTGATAGTGAAGGAGTGAAGTTTCCGAAGCATCTTCAATGGGATTTTGTGCTTTTTTGTGTCATTTGTTATGACCGGACATTAATGATTATTGATTATTAACTTTAAGGTAATTGAAATTTTCTTGAAATTGTAACTTGTCATCTGGTCCTGAGTTTTTTTATTGATTGTGTCAAATAAATTTGTTTTCTCTGTAAATGATTAGCTTTGTGCTTAATCGCGACCAAATTACGACTCATAAGAGTTCTCACATCAAATTTTTTATTCGTAGCGAGGAAATGTCAGATATGAATTAAAAATTTGTTAAATAATTCTATGAAATTGTGGAGTTTCTAAAAATAATAACATATTGATTGATTCAGTTTCAGTTATTAGCTATTTTTGTGAATTCACTGTTACTCAATGTTGTCTGTTAAGTAGTCTCTTATAGTAGGTATTGCTGTGTAAACAATGTCAGATTGGGACGTTGTTGTCTGGAATGAATTCGGATGTCATTAATTGTTATTAATTAAATGTTTCATCAAAATTCTTTCCTAATCAATTTCTTTGGGACGATTTCTGATTTAACACAAACAATTTTGCGATTCGAGCATGTAGTCAAGATCAGATTTGTTGACTTTCATTGTAAAAGTTAGACTATTTCTTGGAATTGATTAAAATTAGGAACATTTGTACTCAATTTTTCATTATCAATGTGTTCGTTAATGCGTTTGTGACAGCTTGAATTTGATTTATTGAACTTTCCGTTTATTTTAGAAAAGATAAAGGTAATTGTTCAGAGATAAGCTAATTCTAGGAAATATTGTATACGTGCAAATGGTGGTTATCCAACACAACAGAGAGCAAGTGCTATCGACGTGAAATACTTACGAACTTACGAACAGAACCCACAGGATAGAGAATGAACATGTGGAGGAAAATTGAAAGTAGAAGGCATACATGAATTAAACGTAAGAAAGCAGTTAAGGTGGTTTCACGTCTATAAAAAATAAGAAACGGAAGACCAGTAAAGAAAGTGTCACAAGCAAAGATACAAAGAGCAGAAAGAGGAAAACTAAGAAAAATATGTAACGGCATGATCGCACAAACATTCCAGTAGAAAGTCGTGGACAGGGGAAAATGTAAAAACGTAAAGTCTGGAAGTAAAACGTTTTTGAAAAAAAATCTCTGACCACATCACTTATTAATATTTTAAAACTTTAAAAGTAATCATCTCCAATACCCAAAATACAGTATCATACTTTTTTAGCATATTTGATCTTAGCATTTTATGCCATTTCCAAATTCAGAATACAAAAGTAGGGTTTCCATTAAAAAACATTATACCTTACGTCGAATCTTAAAATGAAAACATGATCATTAAGTGCCAAGTACCGTAAAATAAAATATGTCTCACTTTTTCGAGGATTTTTTTTTAAAACATGTACTAAAGGATCTATTATGATAGTGCCAGACTTTACACTCGCACTGTATATTCTTGAAATCAGAAAGAAAAGATCTATTCAATTTTGCGAAAATATACAGGCGTTCCATTAAAAATTTACCAAATTTGAACTTTGCGATATTCATTTACTTTTTTAACTTGAAATTTTCTGGCTTTGCATTTAAAGCTTTTTTTCTATCTCTTACAATAAACGGGGGAATAACATTTATACACGTTACACCTATATGGTATGAGGGTTATAAATTTATGAGTTAAAATGAGCCACCCTGAAAGTTAGTTGATATTGAGACTACTTACGTCAACATCGGTTTTCAAGGAGACACATTACGTTAAAATTAACATCTTGTCAGTAACCCCCCTCCACAAAAACCC